CTATGAGTTAAATATGAATCAGTTTTTACTCTGCTTATAAAGATTGTAGAATTTTTTTATTTCTTTTCATAAATGTTTTTTGAAAAACATTTCTTTAGCATTCCCTTGCCAATACACTCATTCTCTAGATTTGTATGAGGAAGTCCCTGCTACACCTAGAGGCAGTAGCTATGTCAATGCTCATGTGAAAGTCATCCAGCTCTAATGTGAAAACTTAAATTTCTATTACCAGTAGGATGAAAATCAAAGATATTAAAGTCATTTTAATTCATAACTGGAAGTAAGATGGGCAGAACTACAGAGCAGTCACACACTGAGCCAGAAGGTCTATGATGGACAGCAGGATTAGAAACTAGACTGTAAGTAGTAAATCACAAATATGAGTAGGTGATACTGGCAGGAGAATGTAGTTGTAAGTCCTGAAACCTGTTGGGATACAGAGACAAGACAATATCTGAAACACCATTTTTTATGGGTTCTGTTGTTAGGAAAGCTGTTTGAAACAGGTAAGTGATGATACAATGACCCTTCCGCTAAAATTTGCAGTTTAACAAAATCTTACATGTTGCTGTAATGGGTGATGAAGGGCTTGACTTTATTCCCATGAAATAATTTCTGGTTAGAGAGTCGCAAGAGTTGATGTATGTACAAGAAGCTATGTTCAGTCTCAGGATCTGTATTGCATCTGTTCTTTAGTACTGCCAGTGCCTTCTTAAAGAATAGGCCCTTAGTCTGAAGGAGGCCTGCTGCACTTCAGTGTGCAGCTGCGCCGTGGATGCTCAACAGCACAGAATCTGCTGACTCGCTCTGCATGTGAGCTCGGTGCTCAGGACTCTCTACAGTCATAGGATAACCATGATTATTAACTGCCTGATTAGTGCAGGAATGGCAGTTGTAAACTGTCAAGAGACTGGAACGTGTGCGTGAAGATAAAATTTAACAGTAAAGGTGGGAGATACAAATTAAGTAAAATTAAATGTTGCAGCAAGAGCTAGCATTGGTAAATGTGGTTAAAGGCAAAACATTTCTTTGTGGGAGGAGCTGAAAAGCTGCTGACTTTCTTCCTGTGAGTCTGCAACATGAGGAGTTTATAGGGCGGGCTTGCCTGACCACTAAAAGACAGTCAACACAGCACTTCTGCGTGGAGGATGACCACAGCACAATAGCAGCACATTGCAAAGAGAAATAGCAAGTACCCTGATGGAGAAAGAGGAGTGCAGGAAGGGACTTTCTGCTCTAGACCTTCTGTGCTGCTAGGAACAAAGAGCTTATTTGTAAGTGTGTGTATACAAAAGACCCTTAACATACGATTTATCACAAACTAAAATCCTGTTTTCTGCCAACTTACTGCAGAGGATCTGGCTACATCCTTGGCTATGCTAATCAGTTAGGCACAGAAACAGTGGTCTTCCTGCCTGCATGAAAGGGCTGGATTAGTTGCTGTGCTGGCTGCTTTGGCCTTGTAGCCACTTTGCTGCTTTGGGCTTCAGGTCAGAAGACATACATGCCACCATTAACAGCCTACATGACTTTTGACTTGAAGTGCCCGTAGCAGGCCTGAATATGGAACAAAGTAGAGGACGAAGGAAATAATCAACCAGTTCACAACTTAGCAATGTCCAGGTCTGGAACATAACTGATTTAGTCCAGTGTAATAGGCCTGTAAAGGATCATAAAACCCTACAGTTAGACAGCAGTTTAGCAGGTATTATATTTCTGTAAATATAGTATATTACATATAAACTGGTGAGAATCTCCCTTCAAGAGGTGCTGTATCATAGGATGAATCTTATGGACACATAAATGACTTTCTAGTCCACAGAAAAAAATCTAAGAAGTGACGACATATGTTTTGAGTGGGAAGAAAGACCATTGGCCAGTATTACACCTAATTTAAGTGGGGAATTTCAGAGGATTGTGACTGAGTTGACTGGCTCTCTTCCTTGGTAAGTCACTGGAAACGGAAGTTCCTTTAAAACTTCTGTTTGTAGCAGATTGATATTCAGCTTTGATCCCTTCCATTCCAAAATGACATACAGAAACAGGGAAAAGCAATGCTTGCATGCAGAGACCACATGGACAAAAGTGGCTGTTTGATAGCTGTTAGAGTGAGAATAAATAACCAATTGTATTTGTTTACATCAGTGATAATGTTTAGAAACTGCAGTCGATTTAGAAGTCTGTTTTCCAAGCACTGGGTCGTAGCCCTCGGGAGGCTATCTCAGAAGAAAGCTCTAGCAATGTGCGGCAAAGACGTTTCTATGGTCTAAAGGAAAAATCATGTTCTTCTGATCCTGCCATCAGACCAAGTACCCAGTCAGTCTTATAAAATTCTGAAGTAAGAAGTAGTAAACAGAGGTTTTAAAATGGGTTTCTTTACTCTTACTGTAAAGCCAATTCATACTTTAGCTAGTAGGGCATCAATCCAAAAATTTTGAGAACTGCTAGTATATAGAAGACAATTTATTTGACTTATTCCCAAAGAGTATTTTGGAAAAGTGAGAAGAAGTCACCTCAACATGAGACACACTAAGATATACAAGCTAATTTACATACAAAAAAGTGAACTTGCAAGTATATTTAAAAGAATATCAATAAACCATCTAGACATATGAATGAAAAATCTTCGGTTGTGGTAGTTAAAATAAATATGACTAGAATTAGCAAGCATTTTATCTTTTTTGTACATTATTGCACAGTTATAGAAGATACAGTTGAACTTGGTTTGTTTTGTGAAATATTTTAGTTTCTTTCTGTTAAAGTAGCTTACCAGACTTAAGTAACATAATTTTTTACAGTATCTTAATGCCAATATTCTTAAGAAAGAGATTAATACCATATCTTCAGAGAATCTTATGAAAAAGTAATCATAACAATCTGAAATACAGAATGCACACATTTAGTGGAAATACTGAATGTGAACATAACAAGTAAATTAATCATGCTAGTGAAGTCTCTTTCTTAGCGGATGACTTTCTAAATTCATCACTCATTGCCATTTTCAGAACTGGGGGATTAAAGGTCTTCCCTTACCAATTTGAGCTATTATGTGATGATCAGTACTCAAGCTGCTACGTTAGTAATTTGTGAATTAGAAAAAAGTGGCTGTTGGTTGAAGAGTGTGTGATTTTAGTTCAGACAACACTCCTGTCTCCCAAATGTGTGCAACATAGTGTCAAGTGCATCAAAGTAATGCCTAAAAGTGACTGACAAAACTAGGATCTCCAAGGCAAGAACAGCAAAGGGAAGACTGATCACAACACCTTTTCTAGGAAAAATTGTGGCATTGGGTCAGTCACATTTTCCCAAGGGAAAACAGGAAACCTGTTTCCTTTCCCAAGGAAGAAGGCAAAACAGGGAATAAAAGAACTATACAGACTCATCAGCAAGCACAGGTGTTTGAACAGACCTAGTGAGATACATTGCCCCAAAATCTGAAGAAATCCTTGGAGAAGTTTCTTTCTATAGCCAGGTTTTTATAAAGTGTCTCCCTTTCCAGTGTTGTTGAATCATTCATGTTGCTGGCGACAGTCCTTGTGGAAGATTCTGCCCCGTTGTCAGATCAGACACTGAGTTGTAAATTACGTTCTCCTTCTGCACATAAGTAGTATAAGGTTCCACTTCCATTGTGTCATCCTAGCAAAACAAAACCAAAAACTGTAAATGCAAGGAGTAGTTTAGTTTGGCAGGACTCTGCAAGCCTGTCATCTGGACTGGAGAATGTAATTGGGAAACTATGCTCCCATATTTATTCCTCTAGGACTCAAGAAAAAAACCCCAACTCTATTGCTTTTTCTACCAAATAATGTGTATTGCTGTTTCTGTCAAGGATTTGGAGAGTAAAGCTGAGGTATTTCTTCACTTGTCTCCTTTTCCTCCCCTTCTACCCCACTTACTTTGGCCTGAAAAAATTGTATTAGGGTCTAATTCTCTAGAAAGAGCAAATAACATGCTGGAGTCTTGACCATGACTGATTCCTCCATCAGTCTACAATTTCAGTCTACAGGCACACTAATGAAAATTGCGTGATGTGACAGCAAGAACACTGGTACTTAACCTATTATTTTACATGAATGCAACTGCATCTGTCAGCAACAACTGAGAGTTAGGACATCAGAACAGGAGGAATAATAACAACTAGAATTGACTAAGATTTTCAGAAATTGAAACTGAAATTGAAGCACCTTTTTAAGCTGATGACAGAATTTGAGCCTAGTGTCTACTGTAGGTCCACAAATATTCACAATATAGATGTAACACGTCTTGCCTCCATAGAAATGCTGTTGTTTATATTTGGTAGCAGAGAACAGAGACACAGAGCTGATGAGTGAATTGCTCAGCTACACGGGAAGTTTGTAACGACATAGGGTTTTCAAGATTACCTCCCAGATTGCAGCTCAACACTCCTTCCACTGTTTTATAAAATATTTTGTCTTGAGTATCGTTAGTTCTTTCTTTGATTGTGGGTTTACCATACAAGATAAAAAGTGGCCTTCAAAACTTACACATTATTATTCTGGACATCAAGAGGGATATTCTTTTTTTCCCTGTGTCTGTTAATTTTGTGGCTTAATCCTCTTCTTTACTAATAGCTTTCCAACTATTCCTCAAGCCATGATATTGCAGTATCCTTTCTGAGTACTGCTTGTACAACAGTTGTGGTCAGTATCTGATATGAGCAAGGAGACGTGGTGGGACTCACTCCTTGCTAAGATAAAGGATGCAGGTTGCTGAGCCTTTGCTGTTGGAACATGCCTCTAATGTTGCTCCATGTCAAAATAATGGTGATGATAGGCTTTGTTTTGTTCTGAGATACAACTAAGAGCGAACGTGTAAGACATGGTATCACCTGCTGAAAGAAGAGAGTAAAAAATCTAACAGTTTCCCTTTACTGACCATGTTTTCAGGGCTACCAGGAGATACCTGATTTGGTGATGGTCAAATTTGCATCATTCTTCTTACCTGTGTGGAATGTGTAGGAGCAATCTCAGGAGGTTTGGGTTTGTGGCACAGTCTGTGAAAAAGAAAACAAGTATTAGAGCAAATTCCTCCCTCAATCCTAGGTTTGTCTGGATCACAGCCTGGTTTCTTTGATCACAGGCTTATGAAACATTTCTTTTTCTTGTCATCAAGTAGAAAGCCAAAATTTCTTCTCATGTCTCCTCTACTTGACTCTCAGTTCTGAAATTATGGCACCCTGACCTTCTTTAGAGGTCTTTTCTCATGTTTCTGGGAGCTTAAGTACAAAGTGGAACCAGAAGATTAAAATCAAAGGATGTACAGTTTGCCATTAGTGAAATTGTATTGAACCAATTCTTCACCTCTGAGGGAGAATGTTTGGCAGAAGAACAGTTTTGGAATAGGGGAAGGAGGTAACATAGCTGAGGTTTTCAGTACAGGTGCTAATTCAGCCTTTTTCTGCACAAATTTTTTCTGTAGTTTTTGCCTGGAACTGCTTTTTTCTCCACAGCCAGTCCTAAAGGGGCTAGAGTCCAGCTTCACCCAGGGAGCTTTTTCATAAATACAGATACAGTCTGCTGTCCCCTCTGTTGATATGGCAGGATAGCACTGGTCAGTCCTCTGGCACTTGATAGAACTTGTTGGGCAGCAGAACCAACCCCCTGATCTAAACAAGAGAGTCACTGGCAGACTATCACTGTATCTGAAGAACAATTTCCTATTAGAATGAAGAGCTCCCCTTTAGTGTAGCAGGCAATGCAATGGCGATCCTCTGCCAACTTCTGCCCATTTATATTTTACTCAGGTGCATTATTCAGTGAAGATGTATGCAATGCACAGTGTCTGCAGTACAGAAATAATTGATGTAGTTAATTCAGTGAGTCATAGTAGCACAGACTGACAGAATCATATGATTTCAAGACACAAACAGTACTTAAAGATCTCTTCTAGCACTAGAAAATCTTTCCTTAGCACCCTATCATACATACCTGTCACTGTGGAGCTTAAGATGGTAAGTGACAGCCATGAAGATGATAATGCTCAGGAAACAAAGAATGATGGAGACATACAGGATAAATCTGTCGCTCTCTAAACACAAAGAGTTAGTCATAGTGTTATCTTCTTACTGCTCAGTTTCTTTACTCTTTCAGTATAAGATTAAAGCTGCTTTAGCACATACACACATTTTCACCGTGCTTGTAAAATAGTTATAATCCCCTTCAGCAGAAGGGAAAGTCAGTAATGAAACTTGTCTGAGAAACGTAATTGGAGTCTGTGTCAGAGACAAAAGCAGATCCCAGAAATCATATGGTGGACTATCATGATATTTTGTCACTAAGCCATACCTGATCTCCTCTCAGGGACTCAGCGTATCTCAGTACTGCAACTTATATGCAATTCTCAACAGGAATAAAAAAAAGCAAAAACCAGAAACTAAATGTCATACAGTGTCAGACATTCACAACTTGAAAGGAAGTGATTTATCTGCTGGCCACACAAGAGTTAGTTCTCTTTCTCTCTCTTACCATGATCTGAGCGAGGAACTTTACATTTGCATCTAAAAAAAATTTTGCTGATGTTCTGCTTCCATGTGATTATTTTAACACTATGATCATGATTGCTTTGTCTCTGATTCCAACAATATTTACACTACCAGAAGAATACTACCACACTTAAGTATATCCCTCTTAGGGAAAAAAATGCTAGGAAATTCTGTCTAGAACACAAACAACCTGGTGATGTTTCTGGGCATAGGCAGATGAGGATGATACTCTTGTCAGGACTTCAATGAAGGTTTCTATAGCCTTTATAGATTTTCCTTCCTAGAAGGAACATGAGTGTGCATAGGAGGGTAACCAGGATTTTGAACACTGAACGCACAAAGGGAAGCTTACCTGAGGGATAACAGGTTATGGACTTGCTCTGGTTCCCAGCTGGGTGGAACACAATGCAGGTTGTATGCGTCATGTTGGTGCTGTATGCTGTGAGCTTGCTGAGAACAGTCACTGTCCCGTCGTCATGGCCTTCCTCCTCGAGGGTGGAGTTGCTCTCGAGGACCCACGAGATCTGAGCAGCCGGCTTCCCTGCCGCTGCCTCGCACACGGGCCT